GGCATTGTGTGAAAATAGAAGAGCAATCAGGGAGCAGAAGAAGGGATTGAGGGGGAGGGAGGAGGGATGGGGAAATGGAGGAAAGTTGGTTGAATCTGACCTCACTTTCCTGTATACGTATGTGAATGTACCAGAGGGTTTCACCATCATGGAGATCCACAAAACTCTAATTAAAAATAAATAGCAGAGGAAAGGGAACTGGTGGAGGAAGGAAGGAGGGAAAAGGGAATTCCTGGGGACTGAATTGGAGCTAATTGTATTTCAAGCTTGTAACATTACATCCAAATTAATGCTAATGCTATGTAGAACTGAAACAACCTCATAAAAAATAAAAATGAGCAGATAAAAATGCTGCTCCATCTCAGAAATAAAAAATGCCTCCTTTCTTTTGGGTCCCTCTACAGATAATGCACATTTCTCTTTTCCATACAGTTGTTTCAACACGCTATGCTTACACTGAAACCACTCCCTCTTCTGATGGGGCTGCTTTTTCCCTCACCCCATGGTCATCGAGGACCTGCCTGGCATTGCTGAGCTCACTGTTCACTCCTGTTTTTAGCATAGTAAATACATGCATCACTGTATAATCAAATAATTGAGCAAACAACCACAGCCATCTATGGCTCTGGGCGAGGCTGGATTGGCTCCCAAGTGACCTTAGGGCCATGTTCTTGGCTTCCAGCCTGCTCTCTGATGCCTTCCTGCAGCACCTGCTGGGCTCTCAGACTCACCTGGGCAGGTGCTGAATGAAGGGTCTCATGGAACCAAATTCTTCCCTGGACGTGCGATGATGAAGGCTGAAGCAATGCTGTCCAACTAGCCAGCAGGAAGGGGTCACACATCAGTCCCTGAGCCAGATGCCAGGCTCCTAAGTAAAAAAAGCTGTGTCTCATGCAATTCAAGTTTGAGGCAGCAACGGAGAAGGGCAGGGAGCTACCTCCAGCTCTGTGTGTCTGCTCATTATGCATCATGTTCCTCTGGGACTTTGCTTTGCACTAGAAGCAATTTTTTTTCTTGCTAATTTCTGCTCCCAAGACACCAAATTAAATTCCAGGGGAATCACTCTTTGTTTCTTCTTCTCCGAGGAATCTTCTGACCTCCAG